TCACAGTACTTTGACCTATGCAGAACATCAAAAGTACTGGGAGCACCAAACGTTCGAAGGCCTGATTAACGTTTGAACTAGGACCTAATGTTTAAATGTCATACCCATGTTTGAACGCCAAGAGCTTACAATACTTTGGCCTCAGCAGGACATCAAAAGTACTAGGAGGACCAAACATTTGAATGACAGTGTAACGTTTGAACCATCTTTTTAAAATTCTTCTATATATGTTCGAACGTCATTCACGTTCGAATGTTGGCTGCTTGGGTATAAACACCTAATTCGTCTTCTCCATTTCAAAACCACCCAAAACCCTTGAAACCCCTCAAAACCCTCAATGACTCTTCATTTCCCAAGCCTCAAACCCTTATTCATTGTCAATTTTTACCTAAAATCTACCATCCCAAACACATTCCCACCTCATTTCTCACATTTTCACCAAGAAATCCAAGTTTTTCTTGCCCTAAAACCCCAAAAATCCGAAAATGATGCCACCAAGGATGAAGATGCCCGCTAGGCACAAGGTGGCCAACCAAGAGCCTAACATTGTGGAAGAGGTGATCGAGGAACAAGAGGAAGGCCACCCATAGTCCGAAGGTATGATAGAACCCAATTTCCTAATGCTCTCAAAGCAGATAGGTACGATAATTTTTTTTTCAAAACCAACCTATAGTTTGTGAATGAACAATTGAGTTGTTGGATTTTGTGTAGTTGGGGATTTGTGCCAATATGGAGGCGAGGGGGTGGACAATGTATTTGAGGAATGGAGGAGAGGCAGTAAAGGAGTTGGTGCGGGAGTTTTACTCCAACACCAAATTGTCAATGGAGCGATTAAGACATATGTGAGGGGAGCTCACATCAATGTCGATAAAGATTACATTATGGAGATGAGGGTCGTACAACGGGTACCAAGGCCGAGCTACCCACCGAGAAAAAATGTGAGGATGGATTAGGTCAGTGTTGAGTTAACGGGCTTGGCAACGTTTGCTTGGGGAGGACGAAGATTTTTTAGTCAAGGTGAATTGACAAACAAGTACAAAATGTTAAACTTGATTGTCGTCTCGAACCTTGCCCCCATCTGACGTAAGAATGAGATAATCCCGAAGATGGCCTGATTGCTATATGCAATAGGTAGGGGCCGAAGCATAGACCTCTTGTCCTTGATCTTGATGGAGATGATGAAGGAGTGTGAAGTGAAAAGGAATTCACTCTCCTTTGGTACACTTATGATGGAGATGTACTTGGACTGGGGAGTGCAAGTCAGGCCATAGATGTGAGTGCAAAAGCCAATTGAATCATTGAACAAGGCATCCTTCCAAAGGAGCCAAGGTCATAGCGGCGGCCCAGTGGCGAGACAGGATGTGCCACCAGCCCAAGGCACTGATGAAGTGCAACTTACTTTGGACGCCGAGGAGTAGAGAGAGGCTTAGGAGGTAGAGGCACAAGTAGAAACTGAAGCAGGTACCAGTACCAACACTAGCACCTAACAAACATTACAAGACATCATGCTTGGCATCGAAGCCAAGTAAGATGAGATTCTCAGACTTTTGAGGGGTGGAGCTGGAGGACCTTCAGGCTCGAGAGAGACGAGAGAGTGATAGAGACTTCTATGCTTAAAATTGAGGATTGGTTGTTGTTGTTAGATGATTTGAATCTTTTTTTTATGCTAAACGATGATATTTTGTGAAATGAATGAATTACGTTTTGTTATATTTTATCTTTTTAAATGCATGTGTTAGACTTGACATTACATTGTTATTTGTTAAATAATTGATGAAACAGATGTTAATATTGAGATTGATTGCTAAAGTGACTAAAGCACATGATCGATTTGACACTTCACCTAACAATCAAGACCTAAAACCACATGTCTTTGAAAATTGGTATTTTCTCTATACTCGAATGTCAAATGTACATTGGTATTTGTTATTCTTAAGGTACAAGATGACCAGACTCAAAAATGGAATTGATATATAACTGACATTCTTTGAAAATCTGACATAACCAGTGGAGATAACAAAAGATACCATGGTAAGTTTTCGAACCTTGCAATGCTTTTGAGAGAAAATCAACATTTACTCAAGTAAGATTTTTCACTTTCTATCCTTAAATAGTCTCATTAAAATTGTTATTGATTGACGCAAATAAAGCAATCTATTGATGTATCCCACAAAGAATTTGTTCATACGACATATACATATGCACATACTTGAGAAAGGATCTTAGGCCATTTTTTATTTAATTTAATTTAATTTTTAGCCTTAGCTAATTCTTTTACAAAATTATATCTCTAGTTAGCCGTAATTGAGCCTGTAATCTGTGATTTCTTTTTCATGTAACCCAAATGATAATCGAGTTACATGAAAATATATTTGACATACCTTTCCTATCTAATTTTTTTGCTCCCTCTTATAAATCAGTATGATACAAAAAAGCAAGAGAAAAAGAATAGAAGATGGTGGCTACTATTCAAAGAAAGAAAATTCTAGGGAAACAACTGGAAAAAAAAAAAAAAAAAGAGAACGGAAAACAGAAAATGGCCAAGAAAGTGAAAAATGAGAAAAAGAATGAAAGAAAGAAATTTCATGTAGGGGAAGTTTCGAAAAGCTAGAAAGAGGTGTGCTACATTACATAAAGAAATGATAGTTTTTAAATACCATTGACGTCGTTTCTTAAACCACTAAACCCTGGCCCCATTACAACCTATAAAAGTCTTAAATGATCTCAAGTCTGATGCATGTGTAGGTCATCAACCAAAAGTATGGGGTATGTTAATAGAATTACTTTATTTGTATCAATATTCTTCCATGAGATTATGTCAAACATTATTAGTTTGTTTGCTTAAATTTCACTCCCATACTAATCGTGCATGTGAATTTACAATTAGCCTTCTTTTGATCACTTGTCCTTTGAGAGAAAAGTCACTATAATCGAAGGGAATTTTTGCTGAGAGCATTCTAAGAAAGGTTTGTAAAATCAAAACTATCCATGGAGGGTTGTAAAGAGGAGTGTTTGTTATATAATAATTCTTGTCGCTAGAATGATCATTCTTACTACATGGGGAATTTCAAATACCAATATAAGTCTACTAGGGATGGCAATGAACCCGGGGGATATAGTTTCCACTCTCGTACTCGCTTCAAAAATATTCGTCCACCCCTATTGTGGGAGCAATTTTAATCTACATCCCAGCCATGCGGGTAAATTTTGATAATCATTCTCATCTCCATCCATAATAATTAATTTCTATAATTTTTTAAAAAAAAAAAATTTAAAAATCATAAAACCTCACAAAAACTCATTATATAATAAATAGATCAAACATAAAAACTCAAAAAAATAATATGTATAACAAATATGTGTTTCATTTAATTATTATTATTATTATTATTATATATTACGGGTTTAGCAGGGTGGGGCGGGACAGGGTGGGGTGGGGAGGGGTGGAGCGGAGATGAGTTTCAATTCATCCTTGCCTTTATCTACGTACGGATATCTCCGTATACATCTACCGTCCAATATGTATAGTTCATCTCCGGTCCAAATGAAACGAATTTGAACGAATACTTATTTTTTCCCAGTGCACTGCCATCCCTAGTACTTATTTACCCAAGAAACGTATTTTGTTAGTTTTTCCAAATTTCATAAACCCTAGAGACTTCTATTAGAGGTTTCCATATCCCTAAAAAAAAGGGGAGCATATAGATAGTTTTTGATCAAAAAAGATATCTTTCATTTTATAATCCATTTGTCTTATGAATCTATCCATCCAAACAAGAAGGGAAAAAAATGACTCCTTCCCACAAGAATGGAGAGCTTATCCCCCATACTTCTTCATCCCTGCTTTTTTTTCCAGTATTTTCGCATTAAATTCAGCATCTATCATCTCATGGTTTGTGAACTCTACCATCCAATTTGTGTGCATAATCCAACCTTCATCAAAACACCCATCATCGAATGCCTAACTGTAGCAAAGAGAAGAATAATATTTCCTTTCAACGCAAGGTGTATCACACTCTTGGATTTTCCGTGAACGTACTAAACAGTTTTTTTCGATATTTTTCAAAAATTGTTCTGATCCCGAACTTTTTAAAATGCTGCATAATTGTAAAATCTTGATCCTGTACCCATGCATTTAATATATCAAAAAGTGATCCAGTCATGGATCACTTGGATGAGTTGCTTGTAGACTTCAGAGGCATTGACAATTGCCTTCCGAGCAAATGTTTCACGCGAGAACAGGGCAGGTATGACCAGCACAAGAAGGTTGGAGCATCGAATGCCATGGTTAGAGCATCTATTATACTATCCACGAGCTCATTCATACCTAACCTGGACTGTGACCATAATATCTGTACGTAAAGCTATATGGGAAGTGATAGAACAACATCAAAAGATAAAAATCTCTTCCTTTTTTTTTATAATTTTTTCCCTCCATCTTCTCCTTTTAAATATAATGCTAGTTAAACAGATTAGTCTTGTTAAAATAGAATAATGCATACTTGGCATGAACTCGATCCTTATATTTTTAGTTGGTATTAACCAGCTTTGTTATTTTCAAGTTCATATCGAGAACTACATAACTATAATCAATAAATTTACGTATCAAGTAGGCCTTAGAAATAACCAGTACAAGTGAAAGGTAGGACCATCCAAGAGCAGGAAGATTAGTCGCATAATCAAAAAAAATCCCTGTCATAAAGAGCAGCATGGTCAGGACGCATTCAAAAGTTTCAAATCCTTTTCCGTTTCTAAACCCTAAATAAACCTAAACAAATTGTTCAAACTCGGCTTGTCTAAAGAGAAACAACCATTGGTTGTAAGGATGTTTTTGTCTCTCAAGACTAAACCATACAAATTTTGGAGGGAAAAATTTCTCAATCATGCCAATTCGTGAAACAAGCGCGTCTGGCATGCACTGTCAATTGGAATAGAAATCATCAAAGAAACACAGATCCAAAACCAAATGAGGGTTGTGTTCATATTTGAATTGTAAGGGAGTGAAGGTCTAAGGGATTATACTTCAAGGAGTTCACAAAAAAATTGCCCTAAAACATGTGAATGTTTCTTGTCTGTTAATTAAAATTATTGATGTACCAGTTTTCTTACACAGAATAAAGCAAAAGGCAACAACAACAACAATTACAATTTTAGGCATTCTTTTAGTCGTCTGCAGATTATAAACATAAATGGACAATATCAATATCAAGTGTTTATGATTTTCTTACTCCACCTATTAATAAGAATTCATAGGAGGCCAAGTGTTTTTAGCTGCTGCACATGCTCAGGTGGGAGAGATGGGGGAGCCCAATCAGATCCAGTCATCTCACCATCAACGTCCTCCACAACGTATTCCTGAGTAAGGAAAGCATTATTATAAGGAAGATCAAAAAAAAGGAATCACAAATTTAAAATTGAGAAAGCTAAAAGGAAAATAGATAATGCAGCAACCTTCTCCAAGTTGGTACAAGCCTTATTGTAGTCCAATATAACACCAAGCCTAAATTCCATTCTAGAAGGTTTGATCACTAAATGACTGAATTTCTCTCACTGCAACTGTGAATCAGTGTGAAAATATATAACCTTTGTCCCAGAAAAATCTAAAGGAAGCGATATGATGGAAGGAACACTCAAGTTAGATACAAAACTCAGATGCTTGGGCATCCCCCCATTACTATTTTTCAAAGTTCTTAAACAGGATACACATGAGATTATAGTTGACAACTGGGATCTTGAAGAGGTCAAAACAGTGGAGTTCAAAACAACACGAAAATGTAAACAGTGCAGTGGGCCAACCAAGTCAGACTTCTTTTCCTTCGTGTGGGGTGAGATGGGGTACCTCAGGTGAAATTTATCGATTTTGAACAGAGATTACCCACGGAAATTGTCTGCATATATAGTTGTTAGGTTGTTACTTCTGAGATGTTTGGCTGAGTGAAACACTAGTGAATATTTTCCTGAATGTTTTCTTTGCCCCCATAGTAAGCTTCAACCAAGGTGACATTGGTGAATTGGATAACACAGAAAAATTGTTTAAATAGCTCCTTCCAAACTCGGGCTAAGCAAGCATTTACGTATTACTAAGGGGTTGGACTATACAATTCCATGATACTCAAGGAGCAGGGGGTTGTATCCCAGGGTTTTCGGCTAGTACATCGTAATGCAGGTCCAGGATTTGGGGTATACCAAAAAAAGAAAAGGGAAAGTTCTACCTCCCCATTAGCTGCTGAAAATTAACTCAGGAAGAGGGTTCCGCTAACTTTGATAGCCTATAACTTTTTAGGCTTGAGAGTGAAACATGTCTACAAAGTTTCTGAAAATTCAGAACACTGCAATCTTGAAAATTTCCAAACACAGCACAATTGCCCACGGCAGCCAGAATCCTACAGGTTAGTTCTCTTCATTTACCCAGCTAAAACATGGTTTGGCAGGCAGACAGAGTGAGATTATGTTGAATGTCTCACTTTAACTTGGCCAGCTTTGTCACCATGTTGTGTAGCATTTCAGAACAGGCAAAAAAGACAAGTGATTCTACTAAAAACAGAAACAATTGATTCTGTCTCACTTTTGTCAGCATCCTTTTTGCAAGTATGTGATAGTGCCGCTGCCAAATCCTTTGTCCAACCATGGTAGCCACCAATACACTGTAGAATATGCCAATCACAGTAAATAGTCCAAGCACGATCAAAGCCATTACAAATAATAGTGGTAGCCCAGCTTCACCAGCACCTCCCAAGCAACCACATTCACCAGCCGCACTAGCACAACTTTCAAAGCATGTCGTACAGTCAGTCCACATACAAAGCGTGCCAGGCAAATGACAGTCAGCACACATTCTGCAAGATGGAATGACAACTTAATCTAAGTCATCTAGATGATGCAACCACATATTGGATGGTCTTGTATTGAAGAGATATATCACTCCAAGAATAACACTGGAAGTTCCAATGCTTGCAGTTTGTGAACGGGATATATATATATATATATATATGAATGGGGAAATGTACATAAAAACTTTATGCAGCACTTTTACATGTCAGCAAGAAAGTACAAGTACTAAATAACATCAAAATACATACTGAAAGATACATCTACTCATAATTCAGTTGTGTGTGTATGCAGGAAAAAATATTTCAGAAGCAGCACAAGATCTTGGAGAGTTTCCTTGTATGCAAAAACATCCAAATGACAATTAATTGAATAAAATTATTTTAAATGATTTTCTTTTTTGAAAAAATAGCAACCACAGCAAGGGCAACAAGACAAAGAATAAGAAGAATAAGAAGGAAAGTCCCATAGTATAACTTTATCTACAAAAGCCAAAATTCCTTGTTCATCTGCAAAAAATCCAAAGAGTGAAAGCCAGAGTGTCAATTCATGGCCTAAAGCCCTCCAAATAATCAATTCCCTAGACTAAAAGACCCTACTTCTGGGATAATACAAATACCCAGAATGCTAATGAATACTTCGGGTTTGACAAAAAAAAAAAAGGACAGTGAAAATGATTCACAGCATCGGATTCTTTATTTATAGGTTTGAGATATAAAGCACCAACGCTTCACCACAAATCAATCGTTCACCAATCCAACAATTCCTCGGCAACTAATGTCGACCTATTAGGCTATGCAACCCACCCCCTTTTTCTATCTGTTCTAGTTAAAGCTCACGTGAGATTGAGCAACAGCTGAGACATTATCACCGGTCTACCACATCATCCATACTTGAATTCCTTGAGCCTACATAACCAACCATAACCTGACACCAGTCCACCAATTTTAACTACATTAAACTGACACCAGTCCACCAGATAACGCCCACTCCTGATCCCTCTGTATCTTATCCTGGCCATCCTTTCAGCTTTTGATTTTCCTTCAAATCCTTATGTTGAGTATACTATCCCACCACGAGCTCCTACTCACTATAATATGTTACCCACCGCAGCTTCAAATCATTTTGTATTTTAGTAATCTGATCATTCTGTAGAGCATTTGTAGCAAGAACAATTTCATCAGTCAAAGAATTTTGTCATATGAAACAGGAGATCATTTTAGTCAAAGGAAACAATCTTATGGCAGAGCAAAGTTGTGATTACAAAGCAGGTCCTAGAAGGAGGTATTCTCTTTTGGGGTTTCGGGATAAACAAGAATACTTGTGGTTTTTTTGGGTTAAGACTTTTGGATTTTTTTTAAAGAATTATTAGCGCCAATAAGCCAACAAAAAAATAGATAACTAATCATCATTATGGTGTCAAAAATTCCATAAACCATAAAGCAGAGTTATACCCGGGCTGACAGCAACAAAGACACAATTCTCGACATGGCTGAGCCAGATCATTGCGCACTCTTCGGTCATAACAAGTTATGAAGCATCCAGATAATCCCAGCAATGCAAAAAACAACAGTGCCCCTGCACATGCCCACAATAAGTCATTGAAATCAACAGCCAAGGCACAACCACTGATTCCAAGTAGCTTATTAGTCATATATGTGCCCAAAAATTGATAGTGTCATAATAGGATGCACAAGTCACCATCACTGAATAACTCTCGAGTACTGCTGTGCACAACATGGATGGTTTCTATTCAAGGTGACAATACAATTTCTGCATTCCCCTTCCCACACTGTCTATTGAGCGGGAAATAAACCTGATGCTGCAACAGATTAGATGGGGGATTCTGAAACAAGATATAATAATAATAAATGGGTTTCAAGCATCCATTTTTTTGAACTCAAGATCAAATACAACTAACAGTGTAATGGCTCAGAATACAATTTGCTGCTGGGAAACAATCAACAAAATTAAAAAAAAGACCAATGTACAAATATTTCAAATCAGTTAAACTCATAAACAACACAAAGACCTTTTTTCCAGAGCTTCCCACAATCCCGGGTAAGACATATTAAACTTTAATGCATGTGTAGCACTCTGGTCCTTGGATGATAAGGAGCATACAAACAAGAAAGTGGGCAATTCAGTAATCTTGCAGGGCACACAGAGATCTCTAAGTTGATGGTTGATACCATAACCTTGAATCATGTCCTGCATATTGAGGTTGAGTTTGGCATAGCTTCTTAAATTATAAGTCCATCTCACAGATGGACTTCATAAGATAGGCTTTGCATGATGGACTTTCGAGTAACATTGAATGTGTGGTGCATGTGCATGTTAGTGTGCTCTCGAAATAAAAAGTGCATCTGTACCCACCAGACAATCTCAAGTTTCTGTAAATGGTTTTTGGCCTCACAAGTCCATCCACAATGTGCACCAAAGTGTCTATAAATGCTTTTTGGTCTCAAAAGTCCATCTTTGATGTGTGCTAGAATGAAACCTAAAAATCCCAACCATAGAAGCTTCTCACAATCAAGGATCAAAATTTCGTTTCAGTACATTGTTTCGGTCACCTAGGAAACATAAATGTTTCAGAAACATTTTGATCCGCTTTAAAAAAATAATGAAAAAAAATAAAAAATTTAAGAATTATTTTTTCAAAACATTAGTCGAAATATGCCAAAATATCTGAAAATACCTTAAAATATTCCGACATAATTGTGGAAATGCATTGAAATATAACAGAACATTTCAAAATATTATGGAACACGTCAAAGTATTAGAATTTCGATTTCATCACTAATTCGTTTTGGTCTCTTAGGAAACGAAAACGTTTCGAATGTTTCGACCATTTCAAAACGATATTTTGATCCTTACTCACACAACCAAGACCCACCACAAAAGTAGTTGGAGGCAGCACGACTCTAGGTTTCATTAAGTTATCCAAAATTAATATGGTATTAGAGCAAAGGGCCCTATATTTTTACAACATGATTATTCTCTTTTCATCCTCCTACCACACAGATATTTAATCTCAATATAATGAATCCTGTTCGAGGAAACATTACATAGCATCTACATGGATATCCATTCATTATGGCTCCCACTGATGCTTCTCTTATCCAACAAGAAGGGATGAGAAACGGGAAGCTAAGGATCAAATTTTCAACACTAAATTCAAAACCAGTAGTTGGAACTATGCCTACCTTTTACTGTTGTTTCGCATCCTTTGTGACTAGATCATATTAATGAAGTTGTCTTGAAGGAACAGGCATTGCAATGGCCATAACAGTTTTAAAAAAGCAATAAAACTGTAAGGAAAGGAGAAGGGAGGAGCAGAGAGCAAGATAGGAATAAGAATGATTGATAAGCAATACAACAAACCTAGCAATTATTCTCGCAAAATCTTGAAAATTGCCCTTCAGTTAACACCTATATTCTGCATATTTTCCTACTAAACCTTTAGAAAGTACAGTAAACAACTTGCAATTTAACTCGTCTTTTAAAATTTCTAAGCAGCAAGATCTCAGCATGCACATTTACTACATATATGTATAAGTTTGGCTCATTGGTGGCACATAAACAACCCTCGCTTTCTCATGTTTCCAGTAAACACTTGTCCATGTTTTTTTCATCTGAGACTTCACTATAAAAAGGATTCAACAGTAAAAACATTAAAACTAGGCCTTTTCTCCAAAAGAACACCAAAACAAACCAGTGAACCACATATCTAAAGGACTGAAAAATAAATAAATTAAATAGGATTAGGAATTTTTTTGCTTTGCAAACAAGCACTTGCCAGACGACATGGAGCGAAACAAAAGTCAAGGTTGTGCAGTTATGCTCAATTTCTCAATACCTCCTAATATATATCAACGTTTGAGATCGGAAAATTTATGTTTGAGTGTGGAGGCAAGAAGTCTCAATTATGATACAATAGTTCTATATCAAGTGAGATGCCTTACAGGTTCATCACCCAATTTCAGGACATAGAGACTTCAAAATTATTACATCCCATCATGTTCGCAGATTTTTCACTTCCAAAAGAGAGTAAACAAAAAAGGACATCCAGATAGTCAGCATAAGATAATATGAACACCACAAGTTACATGATATATACACAAACATCAGCTCGAGAACTACGTGTGCTAGGTTCTTGAGGCTTTACCACATATGTAGTAGAAACTAAGTTCACTATCAAAACCCCAGGCCAGACGGAGCCAGAACTTTTGGTAACCATCAATTAGATACACAAGATATCCCAACAAAGCAATCACCTGTAACAAGGAGCATGAGCAATCAGAACAGTTATCAAAAATATTATAGTAAAGTCTCACAGAAACAAAAAACAAGAAAAGAGAAAAAAAAACGAAAAAAAAAGACAAGAAAAAACGACCTACAAGCTGAACGGCGAGGAAGATAAACAAAATGTCCCTTGTCACAAAAAATCGGAATTTCAAGGTTCGCCATTTCCTGTCGGCAAGAACATGAACTCTCAAATGATAAGGAGCCTTGCACGTTGTACAATGAGCAAATGCAAACCCTTCCTGCAGAAAGTTAAAACAACATAAAATTACGTGATAAGACTTAAGAATAACGTCGGTACAAAGTATCTGACATTAATTTCATTCAGAAGCTTGAGATTAAATAGAGAACAAAATCATTCACACAGAAAGCAACAAAGAGAGTGGCAAAAATAAGAGAGTAAAAGGAAGAAAAACCAACCCAAAAATATAGAAAATCATGGACATAATTTATTTATTTTTTTTTTTTTTTTGAACAGGACATCATGGACATATCAATTGTCAAAAATCTCCAACTCAAGCTCATCAGAAATTCAATGTTAGACTATCAGATACATCTGCAGGAAGTTATAACTTGATCATGTAACACAGGAATCACTACTTCAAGTGTCGATGTCCAACAGAGATATGAAAGATCTACCTTGGAAAACTTCAATAAATCATATTAATCGGTACAAAATCAGTTAGTTGGTTAGTTACTAATATATGGGCAGAAGAAAATTTGACAGATACTACATCTTCATACCTGCCGTAATTTCACTTAGCAAATACTCATATGTGCAATTGTATCGTTGTCCTGGACTAAGATGTAGTTTGCACAGGTGCAAGTGTCAATTAGAACACACTGCCACACATCGCACTGTAAATGAGCCATTTGCACTTGACAAAAGTATTGCGAAACTGTCTCTTTCACAGATTAATATGAGTTTTCTGAGCTATATTTATACCATCAAAGGAAATTGATTTGAATTGCCCATGCATGCCAAGAACTGAAACTAGTTAAAAGGATCCCCAGTACAGGGTACATAAGTGTTTGTTAACTCTCAAAAATATATTAGTGTTCCCAAGTTTAGCAGCTTTAATTTCATGGCACACAGTTTAAAACCATTTAAGTTCATCACTTGAGACAAGACTGGAGTAAAAATACGTCATGATTAGGTCCCAATGATATGAAGCAAGCAAGCAAAAAAAAAAAAAAAGATGTTGAATGGAGCTTGCTTGAGATCCCAATTGGTTTGGAGTTAAAAATTGAGTATTATAGAGTCAATGAATTCAGATAATTTAAATAGTTGCAGGACATTGGCTGTTGCCACAAACCATTGGTCTTGTTACTGGCCCATGTGGTGTGTTTAGGTCATTCCGGTTGAACTTTCATGAGTTTCTATATTGCTACCAAGAATTACTTGGTCCCAAGTTCACATGGCCACCACATTCCCTTTGTCCCCCAGATTTAGTCTTCTCATATCTATTTATTGGCGGCTCTCTCTTGGAATGATGAATGAAGATGCTTAGTGTGATATACCTTCTTTACGAGTGAATAGCGGATGTATGATGCAACATTATCTTAGACAGTTAATCCTAAGGAATTCAAGGTAGCATTCTAGCATCTTCTCCATGGGAGTGAGTTCTAGTTGGGATTTTAGATTCGTATTCTCCTTCTATTTCTCTTTTTCTTCTCTAGATTCAATAGTAGCAAACTCTAATCACTCCCTACCTTTCTTCTCACCGCCGTTCTTGAAATCAATACCCAAAAGGAGTACCATGAGCAAAATACTTTATCAAGGAAATTCCAATCCATTCACATCCCAGAAGCCACCACTACCCTTCCACACTTGACAGCCATAAAGCAACAAGCTTTCCTCAGCCTAATCCCACCAAAAGAAGCACTTGTGTGTCACCTGAACACTCAAGCTGTCACGCACAAAATATCTCAACTTGAAACCTCATTTAGTGAGGCGGTTACAGGATGAATCTCACACAAAAGTCCCCAATCACAAATTAAACAACTGAAAATAATATTGCTATTTCCTCTACAATTTTTAAAATCCCTTGTGCTTCTCATCCATATTCTAATTAGTCTTACTGAACATATTCGGCCATTCACTTTTAAAATGCTTTCATGGCTCAGGGAAGGTTTGAAATGAAAGTGAAATTTGCAAGTCTGCAAGTGCACACAATCCCAGATGCATTCAATAAAATGCCTTGCTTCTTCTTGCCTATATCACAAACAATGTGACTGTGCCATTACCATACTTCACTATTTGGAGCTCAAAATAAGACCTCCATGAAATATTTGATAACCTCTCCTACCAGAGTTGAAATATTCAAGTCATTCTACTGATAACAAGAGATTAAGCTCATTCCCTTTGCACTGGAAGCTCCAAAACCTAACTTCATGGCTTTGACTTTAATACATCATTTGTAATGCCAATATCAAACCTCAATTTGGTTTAAAATGGTTGATTATCAATATTTGTTACAATAAAAGCCATGCAAAGGAAACATAAACTCTTTCAGAAAAATGAAATGCATGATGCCAAGCACAAAGCAAAACGAATATTGACTATGACTATTTATTTTCCGCTCTTGATAAATTAAGCTTAACAGTTTGTCATTCTCAGATGGGGAGAGGGAGGAAAGGAAGGAGCATCTTATGGCATAAAGAAGACAATTAAGATTGTATAAACGAAACAAGTCAATCAAAGAAAACATATATACGTTACTGTGACGAAGAAAATAAAAGCATTACAAGTTTTAAGGCTAAAACCCATGCAGCAAAATCTTATTATGTAAAGTTTGATGCAACTCCTGAAACCTTCATATCAGACACCACACATATCATGTACTAGGGTATGGTCACAATTTCACAAAGTAGAGATAGGAGATGGTATCTGTACCCTTACAGCACGCCAATGATCAAGGCATTCCCGATGAACATACTTTGATGTCCCTTTGCACTTGCAAGGTGCAATGAAATCCCTGCCTGAAAAAGAGGAAAGGAGGAGAACAAATACATCAGACAATCTTTACGATTGACATAAGTTTAGAAACTCAACTAAAAGCATGCTTAAATAGCAGTAAACATAGATGACACATAATTCCAGCAATCCATAGAGACTCGAGATTGACAATGTAATAGATTTTCTTTTTGCTTCTCTGACAAGTAGGTTGACATTGTAATAGCGTAACAAACTCCCCCAAAGCTTTTTTTTCAAACAAACAAAAAATTGAGCAGGTATCACCTTAAACTCAATGTAGCTTCATTCATTCGTTTATTTTCACTAATGGTCCAAAGAACAAAGGAATCACTGATTTAAGAAAAACACATCATGGTTGAAATAATTTACTTTACATCCCTACTTTTTCTGAGTACATCCCTAATTTACTTTACATCACTAAAGCTCTAACGTTCACTACCATACTTAAATATTCTTCAAAATTTCAGATATATAATACACACTCTTATGAGCCCCAGGCTGTACCAGAGCAACACAGCATTGATGATGAAATAATGAACTAAAACCAGCACTATTTCAGGCATAATTCCCAATTAAAAAAATACTTCAACTAGTCTTCATTCAACAATTGACCCACAATGCCATTACCTAACAACGATACGGTCTATACTCGAGTTACACAGCATTTATACTGAAACGATGACCAAAACTCAGCCTTGTTTAAGACATATATTCAGAATACAGCCACTTACTTTTTAAAATATATATATATATATAATGAATTGCTTAGCTTGTTTTGAGGGAAATAATGTCGACTAGCAAACCACAATTCTCAAAGAAATTATCGAAATTGAATGGAATTACCATCGGTTTCGAGGCAAATTCGACACTGAATTTGCTCGCCGGGACCGGCTTCAAGGTCAATCTCGCTGGAATCCGTGATCGGAGACGGAGCTATGAGAGCAGATGAATCAGCATGATCGGCCATTTGACTTCTAATAGAGAGACAGAGAGAGAGAATTTCACAATATGAGAGCTCTACGCTAATAAAGTCAATAAAACCTAAATCTTCCTACTCTATATATTATTTAGTACAATTATACAGTCGAATTATCTCTCTCTCGCTCGCTCTCTCTCTCTCGCGTCTTCTTGGTGGGAAGACTTCAACAGTGTGGGAAAAATTTTGAAGGCACCCAAAAGAGAAAGGGAANTACTTTGATGTCCCTTTGCACTTGCAAGGTGCAATGAAATCCCTGCCTGAAAAAGAGGAAAGGAGGAGAACAAATACATCAGACAATCTTTACGATTGACATAAGTTTAGAAACTCAACTAAAAGCATGCTTAAATAGCAGTAAACATAGATGACACATAATTCCAGCAATCCATAGAGACTCGAGATTGACAATGTAATAGATTTTCTTTTTGCTTCTCTGACAAGTAGGTTGACATTGTAATAGCGTAACAAACTCCCCCAAAGCTTTTTTTTCAAACAAACAAAAAATTGAGCAGGTATCACCTTAAACTCAATGTAGCTTCATTCATTCGTTTATTTTCACTAATGGTCCAAAGAACAAAGGAATCACTGATTTAAGAAAAACACATCATGGTTGAAATAATTTACTTTACATCCCTACTTTTTCTGAGTACATCCCTAATTTACTTTACATCACTAAAGCTCTAACGTTCACTACCATACTTAAATATTCTTCAAAATTTCAGATATATAATACACACTCTTATGAGCCCCAGGCTGTACCAGAGCAACACAGCATTGATGATGAAATAATGAACTAAAACCAGCACTATTTCAGGCATAATTCCCAATTAAAAAAATACTTCAACTAGTCTTCATTCAACAATTGACCCACAATGCCATTACCTAACAACGATACGGTCTATACTCGAGTTACACAGCATTTATACTGAAACGATGACCAAAACTCAGCCTTGTTTAAGACATATATTCAGAATACAGCCACTTACTTTTTAAAATATATATATATATATAATGAATTGCTTAGCTTGTTTTGAGGGAAATAATGTCGACTAGCAAACCACAATTCTCAAAGAAATTATCGAAATTGAATGGAATTACCATCGGTTTCGAGGCAAATTCGACACTGAATTTGCTCGCCGGGACCGGCTTCAAGGTCAATCTCGCTGGAATCCGTGATCGGAGACGGAGCTATGAGAGCAGATGAATCAGCATGATCGGCCATTTGACTTCTAATAGAGAGACAGAGAGAGAGAATTTCACAATATGAGAGCTCTACGCTAATAAAGTCAATAAAACCTAAATCTTCCTACTCTATATATTATTTAGTACAATTATACAGTCGAATTATCTCTCTCTCGCTCGCTCTCTCTCTCTCGCGTCTTCTTGGTGGGAAGACTTCAACAGTGTGGGAAAAATTTTGAAGGCACCCAAAAGAGAAAGGGAAAAAAGAGGCCTTTGACACAGTGCTTTCTGAAATGACCAAGACTTTCTGTATTGGAACTGGCAATGCCCAATTGGAAGTATTCGCTGTTCGGACAAGAATTTCTACTATTTAAATTGGACTTGCTTAAAGAAATCCCAACTTTAGGTTCTATTTTAGGTTTGGAATGCTGGGATTTTAAACAAATCCGAATTAATAATAAAGAATAAATTCAAATTCAATCTAAATTAAAGTCAATTGATATGAATTCAAATTTTAGCTCAAAAATTAAAGAAAAATAATTATTTAATCCTACTTTATGTAACAAAAAATACCATTAAATACTGATAATAATGGATTTAAGTTTGTACCCCTCCAGAGCCCAAAACCATCTGGACTTGTAAAAGGTGGCCTAAGTAGCTCATCCAAACAAAATTCATTGGGCACAACCTGGGTTATGGCACAGTTCCAGAGAGGCTCGATGTTAACGAGTTCGGTATAGATACCAACTCGATACTAACAAGCTCAATATAGGTACCAGATCGGTAGATTGGAGCACGGAACTGGGCCAGTCTACAAAAGTTGCAATTTGACATATGAGCAGGGGATAAGGGAACATTACTTGATGGTTCTGATGAACAAAACCCACAAGTAGTGGAGACGGATCACATACTACAGTCGACGAGTAATGGGTGTAGAAATGCGTCAGGGATTACAGCTCTAGGACAAAGATAAACACTGAGGTGACCACAGAATCAACAAAAATAGACCAACACGAAACCCTAACTATCAGATATTTAAATAGCCCATAGTGATATAGTGCACAAGAAATCCATTCAAAATACTACTATGTGAAACCTAAGCAATATCCTTTAATAGGTTTCAAGTCAAATACTCTGTAACAGTAATATTTTTCTCCAAACAATACAATTTTCAAGGAGCAAGAACCTCCTTATAGTGGACATAACTTTAGTTTTTTGGCTAAGGCAAACCACTCACACCATTGCCTTCTACTTGCATCATACACACACAATCGTAGGGCTACATTCCAAGCTATTCTGAAGACTAGTCTAGTCAATTTCAAGCATCATCAGCTTGGTGGCATCAGTGGAAACAATTTTCATCGTTTCTTCTTAAGTTCTCTTCATCCACTTGTTAGTTTGACGATCTCTACTCGAAATATGAGTAAAACTTATGCGAACCAGCAGACCTTGCTGAACCAGTAAGGTACCATCCACAAGAACCAGTCAAAAAACCTCTCGATCCCAATCATAAACGTTGAAAATGACCCTTTGGCAATAGACTTAGCTCCAATCATTGAGTTGGAGGCGTATTGTCGAACCACTATGTCATTGGTGAAGCAAAACCAAGACCTCGTAGCATGGATCCAGGCACATCACCTCCATCAAGCCTCACTCGCGCCTCCCACACCACCTCTGCAGCCAGCTCAAAATGACCATCCTCTTTAGGATCGTTAGAACCTACCGCCACCAGATGGAGTGACAAATGCCCATGATCACAGTCACTTAAGAGAAAATCACAATCGACGATAGCTAGAAGAAAACACAAAGGACGAGGCTCATAGCCGCGCCAGGGCTATTCCAAGAGAAAATCACCTTCCTCCTTTTCCATCATAACACCATGGACCAGTTCTTGGAGCGAAGGTTTCAAGAAAATCCAGTAGGAGCTGCGAAATGTCAAATAAGTGGTGAAGGGGAAAACCCTTATCACCATGGACACCCTGATCCAAAAAACTGAATCCCCGTGTATCAAGGAAATCTTACATTTCCCTCTGCCTCAAAAGTTCAGAATGTCGTATATAGAGACGTTCAACAAGACTAAAGACCCCGTAAAACACATCAACTCGTGCAAGAACCAAATAGAGCTCCATGGATATCTAGATCCCATTTATTGCCGAGCTTTCGTCATCACCCTCAAAGGGTCGACAATAGCATGGTTCAATAGGCCATTACTAGTTTCAATCTCTACCTTTCGAGAGCTCTCCATATAATTCGTGTCTCACTTCATTGGGGCACGAACTTATTGGAAAACCATCTTACCATTCTTAAGTGTCAAGTAAGAGCCCAATGAATCTCTTAGACACTATGTATAGAGGTTCAACTAGGAGTCCCTGAAGATTGAATATATAGACAAGAAGTTAGCCCTGTACACCTTTATGTCAGGACTCAGCATCCAATCCAAAGATTACTATTCTCAATCGCATTGACCTCGAGTGAGGGCCAGAAGAAAAATAGAGACCACATCCTGAGGAAAGAAAGAAAGTGAGATCGATCCCCAAGGAGACGAAAAAAACTGTCCCCCAAAAGGAAAGAAAATGTCAAGTACCGCCTAGGACCACCACCTTAAGAGCTCCAACCCCGATACATGCTAGGTTAGCTCACCCCCTCAATGCCACTATCTCTCAGGTCATCCATGAGGTCCAAAATGAGAGGTTCATCAGATGGCCTCCTAGGATGAAGTTGAACCCTCAAAGGCGAGACCCTACCAAGTATTGTGACGTCTATAAAGACAATGATCATAATACTAATGATTGCATCCAGCTGAAGAAGGAAATAGAATACCTCATCCAGCGTAACCACTTGATTCATTATGTGGCTTTGGGGGGGAAAGAGATTAGAATGAAAAGGAATGAAATGGTCAAGCTATAGATTCACCCTTACAACAACACCAATAGGCCCAAGAAGAGATTAGAGTCATCTCGAGAGGCTTCGCTGGGGGAGGAAAGTTATAGCCCACAAGCTCAGCGTGAACTTGAATTGCAAACCCATCAGATAGAAAAGGAGAAACTTCGACCTAGAAAGATAATAGGCAATCAATTAGGATGTGACCAAATTACTATAGGCTAAGGCCATTGGGGAGTTCGATTATCTGATTTGGCTGGCCAACATAGTAATGGTCAAGCAAGTTAATGGAAAATGGTGTCTATGCATCGACTTTACCATCTTAAACTGTGTCTACCCCAAAGACAGCTTCCTTTTGCCCCTGATCGGCCTCATAGTCGACACCACGGTGGGACACGAGCTTCTTAGTTTCATGGACGACTTCTTTGAGTACTACTAGATTATAATGGATCCCAGAGATCAGAAGAAAACCTCATTTGTTACGAAATAGGGAACTTTCTGTTATCAGGTTATATGCCCTTTGGTCTGAAGAACATTAGGGCTACTTACCAAAGGCTGGTTAACTGCATGTTCCAACAAAAGCTCGGCTCGACAATGAAGATATACATAGATGACATGCTGGTCAAATCTCTCAAAGCTGAGCTCTATATCCAACATCTCCGAGAATCCTTCGAAATCATGTGAAAATACATGATAAAGTTAAACTCATTCAAATATACCTTTGGAGTATCAGTCGGGAAGTTCTTGGGATTCATTGTAAATAGTCAGGGAATCAAGGCTAATTTCGAGAAAGTACGAGCTGTCATAGAGATGAAGTCACCCACCAGCATCAAGGAGGTTAACGCGTCACTGGGAGAATAGTGGCACTTAACCGGTTTGTCTTGCGCTCTAGCAATAAGTGCCAAACATTTTTCAAGATCCTAAAAGCAGCATTCCAATGGAACGAGAAATGCGAAGAATTTTTCTAGGCCTTAAAAGCTTATCTGGTTTCACCCTCGTGCTGGTTAGTCCTAGAGGAGGGGAGATGTTGACTTTATACCTTATAGTGTCTGAATTTTCTATTAGCGGCACCTTGGTGAAGGACAAAGAAAATGTACAACCCGTTTATTTCTATAGCAAAGCCCATAAAGGGGTCAAAGAATGGTATTCCAAAATGGAGAAGCTCGTCTTAGCTCTTCTTGTTGTAACTAAAAGACTGAAGCCATACTTCTAGGCTCATATCATTGAGATCCTAACTGACCAGCCCATGAGGTAGGTCCTACACAAGCCAAAATCATCTGGAAGGTTAGTCAAGTGGGTTATGGAGCTTAGCGAGTTCAACATAAATTTCAAACCCATAACAACCATCAAGGGCCAGGCATTAGCCGACTTCATTGCAAAGTTTACCACCCAAACTAAAGACCAATCTGCAAATCCTGACCTCGTTGCAGATGTCCCAACATGGAAACTATATGTAGATGGTGCATTGAACGCATAGGAAAATAGAGCAAGGCTCATCCTGATGTCTCTTGAGGGATACAATCTCGAGTATGCCTCAGATTCAATTTTCAGGCCTCCAACAACGAAGCCAAGTATGAAGCCCTCATAATCAGGCTTAACATGGCTCTGATAATGGAAGCACAACAGATTATTATTCACAATGACTCTCAATTGGTGGTGAGGCAAGTTGAGGAAGAGTATGTTGCCCGAGGAGATAAGATGGCCTTATACTTGAGAAAGGTTCAAGGTCTACTCAAAAAATTAGTGCATACCGAGCTCGTCCAAATTTCCAAATAGGAAAACAGTCGAGCAGACGCGCTTGCAAAGTTGGCCACAACAGCTCAACAAGATCTGTCTGGGACAATGCCTTTTGAACTTCTACTCGAACTAAGCGTCCAACTCAACGAATATCAAGTTTTGCTAGTTGAAGAGAACACATCTTAGATGGACCCCTATCATCGCTTATTTGCAGAACGGAGATCTCTTGCGCAATCAAAAAGAAACAGCTAAGCTCAAGAGCAAAGCGTCTTGATTTACCATGGTGCATGGTAAACTCTATAAACGTGGTTTTTCATTCCCTTCATTGAAACATGCTACAGAGCTAGAGGCAGACTATGTTTTGAGAGAGATACACGAAGGCATATGTGGGAACCACATAGGATCATCGACCCTTGCCAACAAAGCGCTTCGGCAAGGATATTTATGGCCCACAATGGTGAAAGAATCAAAGGAAGTAATGAAGAAATACCAGGCATGTCAAGTCCATGAAAATTTGTCACATTGCCCGCCAAAGCAGTTCACGCCAGTTGTCAGCCCATAGCCTTTCCAGAAATGGGGTCTAGACATACTGGGACCACTCACAGTCGGCATCGGGCAATGCAAATTCTCAATATTCTCCATGGACTATTTTACTAAATGGGCAAAAGTAGAGGCACTGGCAAAGATAACCAAGCAAAAGGTG